TTGATTTGGCATTTTTGTCCAATTATTATCTTGGTTCATTGCATAGTCAACCAGATGTTTAGACTTGATTTGGCATTTTTGTCCAATTATTATCTTGGTTCATTGCATAGTCAACCAGATGTTTACACTGGATTTGGCATTTTTATTGACCTATCAAGTCCTTCCCATGGACATGAGATAAGCACATGTTGTTGTTTGTTGTTGTTAAAAACAATTGTCATAGGATTATGCTGTTTCAAGTAGAGCTGCCTTGTTGTTAAATCTTGGATGTTATGTGACACACACTTGTTTGTTTGAATTCTACAGTCCCAGAGGAATTTAGCTTCTTTATTTTCTATTACTTTGATTATTTTGTGATCCCACTAGTTCTTTCTTGCAGGTGTTCCAATAAACTATTTTTGCTATCTTGTCATGCTGTCGTTTGTAATAAATCTGTGTGATCTGTGATCTTCTTGCAGCAGCTAACTAGATGGGCCACTGTTTCTTCAGCTTCTTTGCAGAGGCAGCATTTGCATCTTCTCAGTTCTGCTTTTGTATGCATTTGTTCTTAAACTTCATCTTAATCAGTCAGAATTGACTCTTTTCTTTCTTTTACTTTGCTGCTTTTAGCCATTGCCAGGTCTTGTAGTTATCTGCTTTTTCTGGTAGTTTTTATATGTATTGGCCACCTCTCTTTTCTACTCTTTATTTGGTCTTTCTCATAGCCCAATTTGTTCTTGCTGGTATTCAGTAAGCCTTCATGATGTACTAGCTACAGTGCATTTTCTTCACTGTCTTTCAGATAGTCTTCCAAAGCCATTTTTTCTTTTATTATTAGATTTATATCATATATTTTTTTACAACTCATAATTAAGTATTTAGTGCTCTCATAGTTTTCACGTCTCCCAGTTCCCATCCCAGCATCTCACCCACTGTGCCCCATTGGCTCATGTCATCTCACTGGTATTTACCATAACACTGAACAACATAGACTAGATGCAAGATATAGAAAAAGAAAAGTGAACGTGTTTTTCATTGATTATAATAAGAAACAAGAAAAATATTTTCATTTTACCTTGTATTTCTGTTAGCCAGTCAGGCTGATTATAATGCTCAGATGAGATAGTTAATGTGTTTAGGAAGACCAGGACAATGACTAACCAATAAAAAGAAACAGATTTTACAGCTGCTCTGCATCGTCTTCGGCTAAAGCGGTTCCATCGACGCCAGCGTCGGCTAAAAATGACAGCATTATAATGCCGAAACATTAAAATACAGAATAAAATTAGACAACGAATTCTGACTTTTAAACATAGTCCCATTATTTTGATGCTATCATGACACCTACTCTCATGCCCAGTAGCCTTAACTAAGATGACAAAAAATGAAGGTTTGTAACAGAAAAGGATATGTAAGTTCTTAATACAGGTCAGGAGTCAGGATTGGGATTTGGTTGGATTTCTGTGCCTATAAGCAGTACACCCTTGTAAAGCATACTGTTGACCAATCCATATAGGGCAGATTTTGCATTCTTTTATTGTGCCAGCTCCATAAAGTTGTTTGGAAAAGAGGAACATTTTTTAAAAAATAAATCTTTATATATATATTCAAGCTACAAGACAGTCACTCCAGACACTGTGAGACCTAGATAGCAGCAGCGATGTTGACCTTCAAGCTTCATATAAATTTCCTTTACTTCTAGCATTTTATTTCATTTTTCAGTGAAAAATATCATGCTGATTTGTGATAATTATAGCAAATGCAGTATGGCATAGAATAAACACAGTAAAATCAATAATACAACCTTGAATTTAAAAATAATCATTCAGGCAGCCTGATGAAATAAAGGGAAATCCTAGGTGTTGAAATCTCTGGCAGAAGTCTTCCTAGCTTACCTCTATTCTACCCAATATTTATTACCCCAATATTGGGTAAAATAGAAGTAACCCTATCCAATGTTTATCCCATGCCAACCCTATTGAGGTAAACCTATCGCACACCAACACATTTGTCAGCAAATTTGGTACTGTGATCATGAAAACTTAGGTAGAATTAGGTTGAATTGGGGATTTTAGGAGTAACCATTTCCAAAGTACAGACACACTTTTTAATGTGAATATTTGTAGATCTGGAGAACATAAAATGGTTCAAACAAGCAGAAAAAAATACCCTATATCAATATTACAATTACTTCTGGAATTTACAGTAGAAGTAAAATGAGAGTTCTATAAACACAGCTAAAGGTAGACTTAATGTTCAGGCAATTCTATTCACTTTGCTGAAAGGCGACAGAGTGAATATGGGCTTTAGCATGCATTACCATAGTAAGAAATCGCTACACCCATTCATATTCCTAGTTAAATGAGTAACTATTCAAGATAGCTAAACAAGACTGTTGACCTAGCTCAGCTGTAGTTCACTAAATAGTTAGATTTACCTAAAAGGAGATTAAGTCGTTCATACGAATCAGGACACCAGAATACCAGTGACAAAAACATTTGTGAATAAATCTTGTCCCTAAGAACCCAGAAGCAGAAGAGATGAATTGGAACTGCAGGAATAGAATATTAGGAATCTTAGATTCAAAAGAAAGCATCTGTGACAGGTGCAAAGGGAAGAAGGCCTGGTTTTAAGAATTGAGGAAGGATTAGGATTTTCAAAAAAGATTATTCATTTCTGAGAAAGAGGGTAGCAGGAAAAAGAAACTCAAATTAGCCCCATCTTGAAGATGGAGCAAAGAGACTCTCTAGCAGGCTTTCAAGATTCAGCAACAAACAGCATTCACAGAGCCCCTCCTGGCTCTTTGAGGTGGAGCTAGCCTACACAAGATCACTGATTTGGAAAGCAAGAGGCCTAATCCTCTCTTGAAGGGCAGCTGCAATTTCAGCAATCTGGTGAGAGGAAAAGCAAATGAAGAATCATGGAAGGAAGTGTAGATTGCTGGGCACACGTTTTGCACAAGTTTCATCATGCAAAATGAAACATGTCTCCATTTACTGTCCCCTTTTATCCAAACATAGAGCATTTTTTTTGGAAGAATATTTCCTTTAAATTGGGTGGGAATATCTCTTGTCACAAAACAAAAACACCCCCATTACGTATTAAGGCCATGAGTGAAATCAACAGAATAAAAGCAACAGTTTACAAAACTCAAGCACATGACATACTCTGACCATGAACAAAACCATGGAGGACATTGAATTAAGCATAGTTCTTGGAAATCAGTAAAGGGGTAAATGAGTTTGTGTTCTTCAGTTACTTAGGATTGCAAGTCTCATCATCATAGGCCACTGAGCATATTGGCTGGGACTTGTAGGAGCTATGGTCAAAAATATAAGGAAACTTTATTGGCTCTTTTGAATACCAGCTTCAAACTGAAGGAGAAATGTATCTGGTTATCAGTGTAGTTTTAGTCTTAGTTTAACTACTTCTGTTATCAATATATCCAGGGAGAGGAAAAAATTCATATCAGGACAAATTTGAAGCTCAGTTAAAGTAATATTGACAGTTTGAATTTTAAGATCAAGTTTTAAAGTTTAAGTTGGACAGAGTAATAAATGCAGAATTTTGGAAAGCTTTAAGAAAAGAATTATATCTATGTCAGTGCATATCGTATGTATGTATGTATGTATGTATGTATGTATGTATGTATGTATGTATGTATGTATGTATTAGAAAAAAACTAGTGCTTGTTTTAGCATTTTTCAGGTTTTAATGTGAATAAAGACAAGGTTAAGAAATAAAGCAAGATGTACAGTATTGTAAATATGACTGACATTTTATTGTGCTTGTAAATATTTGCTCAAAGAAAAGGAGAAAATTACTAATGAAATAAGTTATCAATAAAACATAAAATAATACTTGAATGCATTTTTTTAAAGAAAATCATAATATTTGGTTCTTGTTTTTGACATGTTAATGCCAATCTGCCCCTTTGAAATGAAGTATATAATGTTCATTTTATATTTATAAAATACAGTATAATTAATTCCATTTATCAACTGCCACACACAAACCTCCTCATAAAACATCATTTTAGCAATGTAAATTTTTTTGTATGTCAGTTGAGTGAAAAGGCTAAATTGTATCTGCAAAACATTGAGCAGATTGTCTTCTGGTTGAAGAGACAAATTGTCCAGCAAAGCTTTCTTTTAAGAGCTTTTCATGAAGGATATTGAAAAATATACCCATTCCCACTACAACACAAGAATTCTGAACGCAAATCTTCCATATGTTAGGTTTCTGCTGTATGTCAATCAGTGCCTTCTGTATTAGGCTAGGAAAGAGTATTTTATCAATACTGTCTAAAGGATTAGAGAACTGAATGTAGATTTTGAATAGTGACTTTAACATGAACTTCCAAAGTTTAAATCACACAAACTTGCCAACCTATCATAGTTGCAGAGTTGTAATGTACTTATTAAGAGCTTATTACCAGGCTGAATTTAAGATAGGTTGAACCAATGGGTACCAATTCATGGTAATAACATTCATATTTCTGTGCAATTTCTATCAGCTTGGACAGTGTTTCCCAAGCTTTCTAGCTTTCTGGACCAGTACAGGGGAGAGGGGATGGTTCTGCGTGAGTGCTTACAGAGAGATCTGTATTTCTGGTAAGAAGAATGAATGTGCATCAAGATTTTTAAGCCAACTACCAAATTATATTTGGAAACAATGGCAGAAAAACTACAAGCCAGGGATTGAAAAGAAACAGATGATATATAAAGCATCAAGACAGGAACAACAGCTTCCAATCAAGAAAGGTCACTTCATTTAAAACATGCCATTGTTCAGCTTCAGCTTTTCACCAAGGTTGATTGGATGATATTCCAACATAAAGTTTTGTCATATCAATATGAAGATGCATTCTGCAGGATTTTCATTGCTTTTTTCCTCATTATATAAGCTGAGATGTCAGAATCCACTCAACTTTTAATACTTCTAGTTAAATCAAAGTTTTCTTTCCATCTCCCACCCCTTTTTGTTTCTCATTGTCAGCAGATAAACCAGCAGATTGTTGAATATTTGTAGATTGCCAGTTTAAGAGAGAATATATTTGGGGGGGAAATTCCTTAATTTCCTTGAAATTAATGAGGATATATTTATTTTATTTATTAAATTTGTTATGTTTAGTTATCCATTATTGCAGTTCCTTGTTTTATCTGTCCTTTTGTGCATAAGAAATGGGATATTATGATATAAACAACTATTTGCAAAATAATAGAATTAAACAATCCTTAAAATAATCCACTAAGCAGCCAAGGATTGAAATCATAGTAAGATTTTAAAAAGGAAAGCTCAACAAAAAAAACCCAACAACCTCTACAGCTATCATATCAAATTCTTCAGCAAATATGTCTAAACTTAAAAAAAAAGTTTTTTATGGATCAGGCATTCCAGAGACAATCAGAATTCCCTTCTCCAAACAGTGTGATTATTTCTTGTTAGTGTCTATTTTTATATGGTGCGCTTTTATGAACAGCTTAGTAAGCTAATCAGCAAGAGTTCTTGCTCTTTAAGGTGCATTATACACATCATGATATTAATCATCTGCTATCCTCAAACTTAAAAGAAAAACAGAATGGCAGCATTTGCGGGAGACACATAAATTGTCTTCCACCGTTGCCATTGTCAATGAAATAACCAGCACAGCACTTTCAAGTTAAGGCTTATGTTGGCATCTTAAGAGGCTATTGTTAATCACTTATGCAATTAGGGCATGAAGCTGAGGTTCCCCAGTTCCTGTCTCCTCTGGATACTCACACACCCCTGCCCCATATATAACATCATTTGATACTTGCTCTCGATGGCATTTTTCTGCCCGAAGGAAATCCTCATTATCAATTGGATGATGGCTTTGATCCAAGCTACATCTTAAAAGTAATTTGATGTAACAATAAACTGCTGGAGCTCTTCTTTTTATGAAAAACAACACTGACAAGAACAAGCAGGGAAATTGAAGATGTATAATCTTTTTCCTGCGTGCCAATTTCGCTGCAAATGGCTCTGCTACCTCTCTTCTGTGTGCCCCCCCCCACGAGGAATTTCAAATGCACAGATGTCTTCCGAAAGTCATACTGTCAATCATGTGATGAGCAAAACTGGGAAATTAATTTGGAGTAGAAAAATCACTGAGCAAGAAAACAATTAATTACTCTCCTTCATTTGTTCATTTTTTTTTCCAGAAAAGAGGGTTACACAGAATAGTTATGTTGTAGTTCTGTCTTTCTTTAAAAAGAAAGAAGCTTTTGCTAAAGCTATTATAGCAGCACAATGGAAAGAGTAAAATGTGTTGATGTATGTAGTCCTTTTATATTTACTAACACAATCTTAAAAATCAGTCATATTTATTGATATTTGTAGATAATCAGCACAGAATTATGATATATAGCAAGAAAATGAGAGGGAAAGAATACTGACCTGAACTTGGATTTTGAGATAATTTGACTAAAAGAAAAGGAAAACACATTTTAAAGAAAATATAAAACATGAATGTACACATCTCATTTCACCTTGAAACCTGAATTGGAATTATTTAAATATTGGATGTCTGTTAGATATGGACATATTCAACTAGCATAAACTGTAAATTAATAGCCTTTCTTAACTGCTCTTAATAAACCACTATTACAATTATCTATGTTTTACAGTTATACCCTTTTTGAAATAATGAATGCACATTTTCCTTGAAGCTCTTACTCAACAATCTAGAAAGAGGTTTTAATTAAACTACTGGAATAGAAATAACATCATAATTCTAATCTGGCGCTGCACTCTTTAAAAAAAAGATTGAAAAACTGCTTCTTCACAATAAGCCTACACTATAGGCTAGGGAAGAATATTTTATCAACACTGTTTAATGGATTAGAGAGCTGAATGTGGATTTTGAATAATGATTTTAACATGAACCTCCAAAGTTTAAATGACACAAGCTTGCCAATCTACCATAGTTGCAGAGTTGTAATATACTTATTATGAACTTATTACTGGGCTGAATTTAGGGTAGGTCTAACCAATATGTACCAATTCATGGTAATAATATTCATATTTCTGTAAAATTTCTATCCGCTTGGACAGTGTTTCCCAAGCTTTCTAGCTTTGCGGACCAGTGGGGGGGGGAACAGGGATGGTTCTGCGTGAGGGGCGGGCATACATGCCCACCATTCACACAAATGGAGTGCATGTGCATGTGCTCACACACTGGTTGTGCAAGTGGGGATGCATGCACACTTGCTGCTGCTTCCGTGGCCCAATTCTGAATGGGTCACAGCCCGATAGTGGGACACAGCCTGGAGGCTAGGGATCCCTGAGCTAGGACATCCTATAAATTGTTTTATATAAATCAAATACAATAGGATACAAATGCTAGCCTTTAAAAACTCCAGTCTGCTACCTGATGATGATCTATTTAAAAACATATTATTTTTAAAAAAAAAATCTCAAGAGAACTCTCTCTTACAATTTGCAACGAATAAAGCAGTGATGATTAATGTAATTCGATATGTTAAGACTTACAATCAAATAAAAGTGAACCTTTCTTTCACAAAACTTGGTCCAATCCATTCCTCCAGTGAGTCTTGGGCTAAAAACTTTCAAGAGTCCCATCATATACTCACCACAAATTTCCACAGCATGTGGTCTCTCCTTCACCAGCCACATTTTCTGTATTCACTGATTCGGTCTCACTTGCTTGCATGCTTGCTGTTGCAAAATAATAAAAATATAATTAGATTTCTTATTGGAAAAAACATATGAAAGTGTCTCAAATGTCTCTCAAATATTATTTTTATTTTAGAAATTGTCTCTCCTGTAACAATCTGTAGTGGAATCAACACAAAGAATGAATGGATCTCACAGTACAAATAGATCATAATTCAGGAGTCTAAGCAAAGACAATCCTAGCGTATGAGCAGAAAAGCACAAGAATTTTATTATCCTAGGCACTGCCAATAGTGCAAAATTATTCTTCTACAAGGCATAGTGAAGCTATGTACAGTTTCCCCCAAAATGACATTTTCCCCAATGCTTGCTTTAATATGATGAGAGCTATGATTCTTCAAATATGGTTGCAACACTTGGAACAACTTCTTACTAAACTCTTCTCAGTGACTTACTTCTGGGTTGTAAGAAGTTAGTGCTGCCTCTGCTTTCAGCTCACACAACATTCTATGTCTCTTCATTTTAGCAACCTTGGCTCAATGACACTGGTATACCCTACAGACCTGATGTTCCTCAAGTATAAACTCCAGTTACCAGGTTTAATCCATGGAGAGATGGACCATGGCATATAATCTGGATAGATCCTGAATGTATTGCCTGCAATCACTTTAAGAATGTATGGGCTGACACAAGCAAAAATATTTTCACTTGCTAGCACAAATATACGAATACAACTCTTGAAAGTCAACTCATAATTATTATAGGTGCACATGTCAATTCAGATAAAAAGATTATCTTAGCATCTAGAATATAAATGCACTTTCTTGCCTGTCCACAAAGATAGGAAAAGCAGCAAGCAGTAAATTAACTTTTAAATTACAGCATAAAGCATTTCTACTTTATGCCTTAGCAAGTTTTGCCAGGGACAATTCTGACAGCTTTTATTATCTTGGTCCTTGTTTAAAGTAAACCATCTCCTTGGATGTCTTTGTTTTTGGAAGAATTGCCCTTGTGGATATTTTGAAGAAGAGCTAGATTAAAAACTCATTGTTCACAGTTTGGTCCAAGCTGCAAAATTTATGAATCACTAAAATTGAAGGCTGCTAGCCAGTTTATACACTGTGATCTGCCAAGATTAGGATTCCTCCCTTTTTTTTGAATCTCAAACAGAATAGGAAGGTCAAGAGACATATTTTATAACAGAGGGGCCATAATATATCCAAGTTCAAAAATTATATATGTGAACCAAAATCTTACAAAGTTGGGATTAAGTCTACAGGAATATAATTCTGGTTTATATTTGGACTCATGAGACTTGAAGGAGAAAACTCAGTGCTCCATACAACCTATACCAACCCAGTACCCATTTCCTTCATTTCTCTTCCTCTGGTCCTTTTCATGTTACAATTGCCTTCTGAAACATTATCATAATCGTACATACAGAATGAATAAGAAGGAGCTTGTGCAAAAACACTAGAGGAAACCTCTATATCTCACAGTCAACTGGGAAAGATATAATCTGACTTTGATGTAGCCCTTTGAAAACCTTGTGAACACTTTAAACAAGTAACCATTCCTAATTATTTTTGGGAGATTTCTCCATTAAAGCAAGCATTTGTCCCAAATTATAACAAAATTGTAACCTTCCAATTTACTTTTGCAGTAAGTTTATCTTCCCATCTGTTATGTGGAATAATATAATATGCTTTTCAATAGATTCAGGGTTAGGATTAGTGAAGAATGCTGGCAAAAGGAGTAAGAAAGTAATTATCATCCACCAAAGGGCCTTAGATTTAATTGCAAGGGAAATAATCTGGCATATGTAGATTTTTCTGGTTTCTACAACTGCCAGACTCTGATACTTTCTCAAGTAATTAATTATACCATTCAAATATCCTCTGATTTATGTGATTTCCCTTTATTCTGGAATAGGTACATAACTCTTATGCTCGTAGACAGTGACGTGCAGTGAGGTTTATGGCTGGTGAGGCACTGACATCATCACAATCAGATTTACAAACATTAAAATCCTACAAATTATCTTATCCAATATTTGATTGGCAGCAGTTAACGGGTTATGTTTAAAGTCTCATATCAGCATTCTTTACACATACTCAACTTACAACTGTTCATTTAGTGACCATTCAAAGTTACACCACTGAAAAAAGTGACTTAAGACCGTTTTTCACTTATGACCATTGCAGCATCCCCATGATCAAAATTCAGATGCTTAGCAACTGGTTCGTATTTTTGATGGTTGCAGTGTCCTGGAGTCACGTGATCACGTTGTGCAACCATCTGACATTTTGCAACCT